GCTCCTACCTACGGGGGTCTCTGCATGCATCACTGTTACACTGTCATGCCTAGCGATCACATCTAAAGTGCAGTGGTAGTCCCAATACGACTTCTCGTCGGAAGGACAACGTGTTGGACGAACGCATTCTCCTGTATCCATTCAACCGATTCTTACGTTGATGTAATGCTCCCAGGTTGGATGTGGTAGATTTAGATCAACAATTATAACAAAATTCGGTGCAACAACTGCTGCCAGATTTAATATTCTGTTGAGCTCCTTGTCCTCCATTCTCTTGGAGGAAGGGCTACAGTACACACAGACGAAATTTTCCAAATTGCCATCTACCCTCAGAAAGCAAGAAACAGCCCGAAAATTCGAGGTTGCCATAGAAAATATAGCTTTCCAGGTCGATCCACTCTATGACTGGAGAAATCCACCAGTATGTCGTTAACTTGATCAGTGGACGACATCTAGGTTTCAGTCAAAGTGCCAACGTCGGTGAACCTGCAACGCGGCGTTAGCTCTTCCTAATTGTTTCTGATGCTACAATAGTTAGTGTACCATACTCTTAGCTTCGATTAACGATTCTTTATAGTTCCCTCGGAAACTGTGTCCGAGGAGACAGCCCGTTTTTTGGAGTAGTTTCTGAACTATCTCCAAAATCTGCAAGTTGGACTCTAGTACGGACAACGGAGTTTCTAAAGTTCCCGCAACACATCCTTTTGTGGCTGTTTAGTTGCAATTGCTTTGGTAACAGGACGCACAGTCACCTTTTCATTGGCACCTTTACAGCTCTACTTTTCTTAACCGACCAATTATCAATAAAACCAGCCTCAGATGCCGCTGGACTCATCTCAGGAGCAACCAACACTCACACTCAGTCTCCGAAGTGTTCCCAACTGTTGAGAGTGTAAGTGGAACCTCGGTTGGGACGGTAGTTGCAGATACTGCTGCCCACCCACGTTCCGTCAGTGAAGAGTTTGTGCTTCCTTCCCCAATACTATTTTCAATTATGGAAGCAGAAATCAAGCTGTCTGATAGCACCAAGTTTTCCGCAGTCACACTCGGGTCACGCTGGTTGTCTTTTAGTAACTGAGTGGAACAATCGTTTGAGACGACGACGACTAATCCCGAAGATGTGTCGGAGCCATTAGCAAGTTCAACTCGTGTCATTTGACTGTCATCCACACACGGAACCTAAACAAGAGGCTCATTTACTATTGCGGAGGGTACAGAAGGTAGCGTGTCGGGTACCAGTTGATATCGGCCCCTGATCCGGCTTGCTAACAAGCCAGCATGGCTAAGCAGCAAGTCACGGTAAATCGGGTTCTTGAACTCAACTAAGATAGGTCTTGCAATAGATTTTATGCGACGTACTCGCGTTTCGCAAACTGCCTACTCGATGGATGCGCTTGATACCGACATACGACGGTAACCTGAGGTTAAGGAGAATATCCAGCACCCGCTTTCTAGCCAACTCCCTCCGAGGTTTCGCTTCTCGTATAAAGCATTCTTCACTATTGTAGATAAGGAAATTCCTTTGCCTGCCCATCGCAATTTCTGTAATACGAATGTAACGACCACAGAACGAGTAAATCTCATCAATTTTCGCTCGTATTTCATTAATGAGTAAACTCTGTTCTCGAAATAATTTTTCCGCAGCATCGATCCTCTGCATGCAGCTCGCCAAGGAGTCCCGATGCGGATCCAACTGTCGTTGGCGAGCTTCACGACAGCTAGTAGGAGCAAGGCAAACGCTATGGAAGCATATACACTTCAGGTTTGAGTGGCGGGCATAAATATCAATCGCAGATTGATCTAGCCTTAAACAACTAGTATGATACCACAATAAACATAAGTCGCATTGGATTCCTTCCATTACCTCTGTGCCGCAGTTATACTCCTCGCAATTACACCCAACGTGAGGAGCCATGTGTAAAATACAAAAACAGCGTGAGCATACAAAAAATACAAATGCCGAGGGTACTACGTTAAACAGTAAAAGCAACGGACAGTGCCATGATAAAATCACAACTACAGTGAACAATAAGAAAAAAACATTGGAACAAACTCAAAAGGGATATGAGCAGGACAGTAGACCAGTCCATTGAAAGATGAATGCCAGTGAGAATACTCAAGGTGCATCGGGATAAGGGCACAGGACGAGAAATCCGTGTGACAAAAGTTCCCGAGGTTCCGCCTAATTTAACTCTGTTTTGAAGACAGATACAATAACTTGGAACAGAGTAAAGTTGTAAGACCGGGGCCCTTTAGAATATTCTTCCAATTATAGTTTTAAGGTAAAAATGGCACAAGTTTCCTCAAAATTGCAAACCGCGCTAGAAGTCGCCCAAAAATTAAGTATCTGAGCAGCTACAACAGCGTCAGTGTGATCGAAGACGAGGTAACGAATCGCATAGCGAAATCTCGGGGTGCTTTTGCCAAGCTCTACCATCTGTGACCCCGGCGTGACATCACTCTCGCTTTGAAACGCAGAGTTTATAATGCATCGGTCTGTCCAAGCTTCTTGTACGGTTGAGAGACCTGACCCATCAAATAGACAGACTTAAAGCGGCTTGTTACGCTCGATCATTGATGTCTTCGAAGCATAGTAATTTTTGCGCCATCAATCACCCCAGCATCCGATGCCGGACACTCATCAGGTGGTCGTAAAATATGTCATTTCAAGCATAAACTTAAAGTGCAGAAAACATGGCTACAAAAGGTGACGGAACGGCTTTAGCAGGAATGACTTGCTTTGCAATACATAATGTCGCTATGTACTATGAACATCGCCAGATGTGTGAAACTGTACTAACGTAGCCTGCGGTATTGGGAGGGGTTAATTGAACTAGGTTATTATTATTGTCCAGGAGAAAGTAAAATTGCCTAGGAAATCCACTATTTCCGCAGTTAATCGATTACTAACGATTATCGCATTGATTTCGGACGTCCCGGAATGTTCTAGTTTCTGCACGTGACTAAATCCACCTGACATCCAGGCAAAAGACGTGGGGAACCAGTAACCTTGGTAGCTGAACTTCCAATTGTGGAAGTCGAAGGTCAGTAAGTTCAAGTTCAAATGGGACTGGGACGATTAGAGAATCCTGTGAGTGTTCCATTTTGAGCCAGGAAGTGATGAAGTGCTCAGTTATTGATGGATCTAAAACGGAACACTCGTATCGCACCCTGGCCAACCAGTTAATGTCCACGTTTCCTGCCCTAGCAGTCCTTGCTGTGGCAGTCACGTGAAGTAAGCAAAAGATAAGAAGAGAAATCGAAGGTACAGAATAAGGAAGTGCACTTGAAATAAGAAAATAATACCAATGCGCGAAGAAAAGTAGAAAAAAGAAAAGCGAAGTACGAAGATGCGAGTTACTCAGGAAAATGGAAAGGTTTCGTGTTGCCACCCAAGAGCGTCAAGTTGCCGCTCAAATCCCTTAACCGTAGATTCCCTGATAACACTTTCCGGAAGCATGTTCCAGCGGTCGATGACTCTGTGTGACAGCCGGGTTTCCGCCCTAACCCGATCTGACCGGGGTTTGTCCAGCTTCAAGGAGTGACCGCGTAGAACAGACAATCGAATGGGGCTGAATAGCCAAGATAAATTTGGACCAACCTTCCCAGTTAAGATACGGTAGGTTAGGATTAGGTCTCCTCTAAGCCTTCGGTAGTGCACTGAATGCATTCCCAAACTAAGGAGACCCTCGGGGTACGTCCGTCCGCGTAATCCCTCGACTAACCTAGTACCACTCGTAAAACCCTCTCTAGCTCCATTTTGTCCCTGACGAGGCAGGGCGCACAAGCCTGGACGCAGTATTCCAGATGAGGCCGAACGAAAGCCGAGAACAGTCTCGTAAAGATGCCGCCCGTCAAGAGTCCGAAAGAAAGTCGCATTAACCACAGCATGCGGAAACCTCTGCTTGCGGCCTTCTTCCAGTTGTCGCCGGAGTGTAAAGCCAAAGAGTGTACGACTCCTAGGTCA